GCGGTGGGCGTCTGTCTTGGTTGGCCGCCCTGCTCTGGCTCTTAATCTGCTGAGAGGGCCCATTTGACTCCACCTGTGCCTCTAACCAGTGTTCCCTCTTAAGCTGAGTTAGTGTGAGCCAGCTCACAGCCTTTTAGCCTCTGGCTCACACATTTTGGTCTTAGCTCAGGAAGGAGGGCTCCAGAGCAAACTAATTCATGCAGTAGCCAAATTGGCTCACTCACAACTTTAATGCCAGTAGCTCACAAAGTAGAATTTCTGCTCACAAGACTCCGCAGCTTAGAGGGAACATTGCCTCTAACAGATATGAAACTCTTGCTACTTGTATGAATTTTTATTATTATCTTAACTGATTTTAATGTGATCTTATTGTAACGGGTCTTGGGCTTGGCGCCTTGCGATCTGCCCTGAGCCTGCTTTGAAGAGGGCGGGATAAAAATCTAAAAAATAGACAAACGAACTGGACTATTGCAAACGTGAGGCCGAGGCTGTATAGCAGAGGATTCAGATACCCTATTTGTACTCTGTGTCCTTAAAACGCCTGGAGTGTCTCCTGTCAGATGGTGCAGTCTGCTCATTCCGGCTTCCTCCTGGATGAATTTCCGCAGCACCACAGTCCGACAAACTCCCAATGGATGTGCCTCTTTCCTCTACGCAGTGCTACAAGGATGGACGCCTGCAGCTACTGAAGTGCCAAAACTCTTTGTGTCTGATTCTGCCCTCTTGGCAGCCTATTAAGATAAGACTGTATCCACAAAATATGTTAATAAAGGGATTATATGAAGACAGTGTGGTGTGTGTTTTTTTCTTTTTTTTGTTCAGTCGCACAGTCGAGTCCGACTCTCCATGACCCCATGGACCAGATCACGCCAGGCCTTCCTGTCTTCCGCCATCCTCTGGAGTTTGCTCAATTTCATGTTCGTTGCATCGATGACACTGTCTAACCATCTCATCCTTTGCCGTCCCCGTCTTCTTTGACCTTCAGTCTTTCCCAGCATCAGGGTCTTCTCCAGGGAGTGCTCCCTTCTCATTGGGTGGCCAAAGTATTTGAGCTTCAGTTTCATTATCTGGCCTTCCAGGGAACAGTCAGGGTTGATTTCTTTTAGGATCGACTGATTTGATCTCCTTGCAGTCCCAGGGACTCTCAAGAGTCTTCTCCAGCACCATAGTTCAAAAGAATCTATTCTTCGGCACTCGGCCTTCCTTATAGTCCAACTCTCGCAGCCATACATGACTACTGGGAATACCATTTCTGTGACCATGCGGACTTTTGTTGGCAGGGTGATGTCTCTACTTTTTACCATGCTGTTTAGGTTCACCATCGCTTTCCTCCCAAGGAGCAGGCGTCTTTTAATTTCATGGCTACTTTATGTTACGGCTATTTTAAGGAAGATGTACGCCATGATGATGGTGATAAGTCTTTCCTGTTATAAAGCAACAGGTGGCTACAGTCACCCTCTTCAGCAAGTTGAAGGTCCATGAACACACCCCTCCCACATTCTGTTATTGCAGAACCGGACAGTCTTGCTGTCTCCTTCGTGTTCTGAGGACTTCACTCTACCTGCTTCGTCTACCGCTGGCTTTTCATGAGTGAAGTTATCAGGAAAGCCACCCCCCCCCGCTTCTGTTGTTTTTCAGAATGCACAAAATGGAACTGTTCAGGAGGGCAAACTTATAAAGGGAGCAGAACTGTAGTATAATAGATCAGCTCAGGAGGCGACTTCTAATAAGGAGCAAACTTTTCCTACTTTGTTTTGTTGCCTCAGACAGCAATTCTTCAGTCCCGGTCCTGTTGCATTATTTTGTTTCATGAAGGCTCTTGCTTTTAGACTGAATTGGAGGGAAAAATGCATCCTCCACAAGGGAGGCCACAGAGCCCCACCTGAATCCTTTGAAGAGAGCTCCCATAAAAGCGTCAGGCTTGGCGTATTCGCCACGCTTCATTGTGAAGCCACGGATTCTTGAGACCAGGCCGGGCCAGTCTCTCCTGCACATCCTGTCGGGGAGTCTCCTCCATCTCCCACTGCTGGTGGTCTGGAAGATCCAATCTGCCCTGCTCGTGGCCCTGTGCCCCATCCTCCCGACAGACCAATGGACCCTTCACCAAACCAGACGCTTTCAACAGCACGGAGGAGGCCGACACAAAGAATCCGTTCAGCATCTCTCCCATCTCCCTTTTGCCACCTTTTCCTCCTTGGGATGCAGTAAAAGGAAAGCTTGTTAAGTACACCAGAAGGAGGAGATCAGCAAAGCGGTTTCTTATGTTCTAATAAATGTATGAAATTTAAATTATCAGGTTTCTAAGCAGAAGTGAAAACATGGTTGCTCCAGAAACTCTACTGGCGGCAGTATCAATTTTAGAAACTCCTAATATGCCACTTAACGGTAATGTATCTTGAGGGCCAGGATGTAGCCGGTGCAAAACACCACTCCTCTTTCTGCTTACACCATCCGAAGGCTTTCCTCTTTTATTAAATTAAAACTCCCTTCAGCACTGCAGACAAAAAGGCACTGTAATTACCAAATTGTCTGCTCTGCGTTATTAGCATGCAGTGTAATTACAGCTGCAAATGCTAATTACTATCATCTCATCCTCTCTGTCTGGGAAGTACATTCTAGGCTATCTATTCACATGAAAGGGGGGGAAAAAACCCTTTTGATTACTGAAGAAACAAATGAATCTTCCTATATAGGTATTGGACTGAGAGATCCTGCCTGGATACAGTGGAGCGATCATTCAGGGCTCCAGGAAAGCAGGCACGATATAGCCGATGTCACTCCCCAAAGGCCTTGAACTGGGTGGCTCCGGGACCTGGTGCTTTCAGAGCAGCACGATAATGGGCCCTACAAGTCACACTCTTGTTGTGTCTTTGGAAAGCTAAGAAACAAGCAGACATTTCACCGGTGAACCCTTTCCCTTTGTGCCTAAATGCCAGCCTGACCTAATGCATTCTCAGGAGCCAAAGGACCTCCTTTACTGTTTTGGAGCCCCGGTCACATGGGCCAGATAACGCGGTGTGGGGGAGGCGTGGCTGTTCGCCCCGGAGCAAAACAAAGCGCATTAGCCCGATCACACGGTCCCCCTAGTCTCTGTGCTTAGGCTGTTAGCTGGCGTTCACATGGCGATGCTGCAGCGTGGCAAAGAAGCGGCGCGATCACAGAAGTGTTTCGCGTTTGTGCGCTTGTGCAGTTCCGCGGAGAAGCACTGCTTTCAGTTCCGTGTTTGTGCGCATGCGCTTACGAAAAACATCTGGTTTGCGATGGGACGTGGACAGGCGCCAGATGCCACAGGTTACTAGCGCTTCCGCGCCAAGACGCCTATGCCGCGTGTTTTCTGGATATTAGTGCACTTTCCTTGGTAGTTTTTAACTCCGCATCTTCGGCAGGACGCCACAGGATGGTCATGGGTGCGCTACGCTTCCGAGATGTTGCGGTGTGATCGCGCCCTGAAAATCTGCTCGTGCCTTTTGTGCAGCAAATTCTCCATGTGACCGGGGCCGGGTAGATAATTTCAACCTCCTACCTGAGCTCAAAGAGCCAACTCTGGGTTCAGAAATACCTGGAGACTGAAGTCTGGGGAGGGTGGGCTCCGGGGAGGGGCCTCAGCCGGGCACCCCGCCAGGCAGCCCACTTCCCGAAGCAGCCATTTCCTCCAGAAGGGGGAATAAGCGCTTTAGATAAGTAAAGGACGCAGGTCTGGGGTGATCAGCTGCAATTCCGGGAGGCCTCCAGTCCCCCACCTGGAGGCTGGCAACCCCGAGTCCTGGAGACTTGGGGGTGGCGCCGGAGGAGGGTGGGGTTCGGGGAGGGACGTGATCCCCCCCTCCAAAGGCACCCCAGGCTGCAAGGGGAGGGTTGCCAGCCTCCAGGTGAGGCCGGGAGATCTCCCGCTGACAGGGATCTCCCCCCCCCCCGCCGCCGGGGGAATGGCTGCTTGGGAGGCGGGACTCCCATGGGCCTGGTCACCACCTGGTACCCCCGGGGGGCGGGGCCCCTCCCATCCCCCAGGCTCCACCCTCCCAAAGTCTCCAGGCATTTCCCGACCGGGACCTGGCAACCCCATGCAAGGCGGGGGGCCGGTCCCTCGTGGCCGTCAGAAAAGGTCGTCTCCAGGCCGCCCCGGGAGGCCGGCGGGGGAGGGTTTCGCTTAGCCGTCTGCTCCTTTGGCGGGCGGCGGAGCACAGGGGGTCCCCAGGTCCCCCTCCTCCTCCTCCAGGCGGCCCAGCGAAGGGAAGCGGCCCCTCCGGCCGACGCCGCGCAGGCCCAGGCGGGGACAGCCGCCCACCCACGACGCGCGGCCTCCACTTCCGGAACGACCCCCCGCCCGACCACGGCTGCACAGGAAGAGCCGGTGTCGCTCTAGCCCTCGCCGTCTCCGTGGTGCAGGCCGAACGCCGCTCTTGCCGCCTCCTCCTGAGACGGAAGTTCCGGTGAGCAAGGGCGGGGCGGGGGCGGCTTCCCCGTGCGTCTAGGAGCGCCTTTCTCGATGGTCGCCGGAAGCAGGAAGCTGCGCGACCGGAAGCGGGCTTCAGCTGGCGAGGAGGGGGAGGGCCCCGGGGGCGGCTGGGCCAGGAAGGGAGGAGGAGGAGGAGGAGACGCGGGCGAGGGAGAGCGAAACCCCC